TTAGGCGATAAACTCTTTGGCCATCAACTGGTACTGTATCCTATTTTAAATTGTATATTTATCTTAGCTTATGTTCTGGTATTATTTGTTAAACACTTTACATTCTAGCTTATTAATAATTCCTCAGCAATCAGTGGTTCTTCAACATATAGAGGGGTGATACAGAAATTTCTATGGTTTGAATTTGTATAGGTGCAGGCATGAATTCTAAACAAATTTCTACTGAAGAAATTTCAATGTTACCTCTGCTAAACGTTAAAAGTAAAAGATTGTCGCATCGCCATGGAATTAAAATTTGATATATTAAGATCTTTTTATTTATTAAAGCTTCTTTCTATTTTTATGTGATTTAAATATTTAACCCTTAACATGGAACGCATTAAATAAATTAAGTTGGAAATTTAATATGAAAGGGAAGGTAGGTACTATTTGTACAAAGTGGATCTGTGCCAAATGATTAACTATTCCATAAAGCGTTTTAATACTAGAATTATGTAACTGAAACTATATAAAATAGAGTATCTTCCGAAGAAAAGGGAAATATATTTATTAAAAATTCAATATTATTCCTTTGTTTGGTTTAATTAAACCAAATTAATTCTGAAAGCCATTATTTCGCAGCCTACAACTCAATCTTGACTATTTACATAGCATTGTCAGAGCATTGAAAGTTCGCTGGGAACTTATAGCTCGGGGTTTTGGAGCCAGGTATACATAAGAACTCGTCCTGGCTGCCATTGTATTGCGCTCGTGCACTTGTAGATGTGGCTGTATGGGTGTCATTGTCTACGTGGCAAAACTTCCGCTGTGGTTTCGGCTGCTGCGGTGGTTTTGGCCGCTTCGGTGGCTGCGGCAACCGGAAGCGCCAAACACTTTCCGGTCACGCAGTCACGAGGTTCGCCCTGCTCTCCGGCCAACAAAAAACACAAAGTCTCGAGCAGTCACTTAAGCTTAAGTGTTGTTGTGCGCCAACCATTTTGTGGCCACAACAATAACAATAGAGCCAACAATGAGGGCAACTCAATTTCTATGCGTAGCACATCGCGACTTTTCGCAGGGAAAACTTTGACAGAGAGCAGCCACAAATTGTCGAGGAAACAAAAGTTACCAGACCGCTCCTAGTTTTGCATTTGAAATGTGCCAAATAAGTTTTTAATTGAAGAGAACTGGCAGTCGAAGTCGATGGCCGTAAAAATGGGGAGCCCTTATTAAGTATACGCACAGTGGCACGCCATTGGTGGTAACATACAAAGTATATGGGGCTTGAACCCTTTTACTCGAGATCCTTATCATAGCCATAAAAATTTAATGCAAAAATGTTACCTTTAGTTTTAATTTTAAGTTACTATTCTTTGTTTTAGTTCTTTAAGTGGCCCCATCTAGACAGTAAACCATAATACCTTGAGAACTAAAGCAACTAAATTAATATTAAATAACAAGTTTGAAATCGAAAAAGCGTGATGAAACATGTTATAGTTACGTCGTTACATCCATTTTATTGGAGGTTGTAGTATTGAAAACACTGATTCATTGGTAATTTCCGTAGTCCTTCAAAAAAAATGTCGTGTATCGTGTTTTATATTTACAAACTGATAAACTAACGAATAATAGTTCAGAAGCTTTAACTCAAAGGCTGTGAAATCAAAGAACTCTGTTACAACATGTGCATTTACTATAATCTACGTACCGTGGCACGTGGTTGAGCTTTCCCCCGATTTCTCACACAAATCATTATCGATTATTATCCAAGTCATGTGTATAACGAGCGTATTCGATTTAATGCCCAGTCCATTAGTTAAACAGCCTTGGTCTCGCCACGAACCTGACCCTTCCTTTGTGTCCCGGTGTTAATAAGCCAAAAGTCAATGTGTTAAATGAGCTGTGGGGTCGATTTGATGACGAGGGAATAAAAGGGGTCCGTGAACTAGACGATGGTTCAGAGTCGTGTGAACATTCAATAAAAAAATGGGCGAAAACAAAGGATAACTTTGGGCGTCCAGGTGAAAGCCAACAGTTCGACGAGGGTGGATTGAAAAGTTGATTTTAGTGGGGTTATATGGGATAGAAAACGTTATTCTTTTAAATTAAAGAATGTACTTTGCTAAATTTGTAAACTTACTTATTGTAATGAATATGTAAAACCTGTTCTTTGAGCGTTCCTGTTTTGTAAGAAACCTGTATAAAATAATGTAATAAAACTAAGAAACAAAAATTTCTGTTTTTATTAACAACAACAAAGTCTACAATCAAAGTGTTTGTTTTAGTAAAATTACTCCTGAACAAATAAATTTAATGATAATGCGTAAATAAATGTTTTTCCCGAGTTTCGGTTCCCGTAAACATTTGCCATTTCGACTGTGCTTGTCGGTTATCGTTTTATGCCCTTTTCTGCCATGTCCTTACAACAAACAATGGGCCAAAATGTGATTTTAGTTTATGCCATTTTGACACGCTAATACACTTCCTCCTTAGCCCGATTTTGCCATTTGAGCGAAGAGCAGGCAGTTATAATCTGAGCCATTGTGGCCCGAATCCATTTGCCATATTGCCAGCTACGAGAAGAGCTGGCTGAATAACTTGCACTCGAGTGCACTTTGCCTCCATCATGATCATCCCCATCGACGTCGATGTTTGGCATTCAATTCAATTAAGTGAGTTCAACTTTTGTGTAAAGGCGGGACTGAGAAAAAGCCAAGGATAAAGTTGAAGTACGAGAACAAAGGCTGCGATTCTAGTAGGAGTATCCGCTGTCTGCCTTATAATTGTTTCCATTTGTTCTCATCAAACTTTTCCGATTCGTAGGTTATTTGACCTTTCCCACGACTTTTTCTTATAAGGCGCACCCTCAAAAATCTGTTTAGGTGTGAGTTGCCACCTTTGCTTTAAGTTTCTTTTGCTTTTGTTGCTTTTGTTGTGTAAACTTAAATTTAATTAGCTTAAAAAAAGACTTAAGTTAAATAACTTCCCACTCCTGTATCTCCTAAACTATTGGTCCGACCGAATTAAAGTGGGATTGTACTTTAGACAACTTACATTTATTTATACAATAAAAATGTAATCATTAAAAATCGATGTATACTTTAGGAGTAAAGTATTTAAAAATGATTGATTGTAGTGTAACCTTAGTTTGGTTTTCAATTTTGAAAGTAAGAAAGAACTATATTTTTTAAACAAATACTGAGGTATTAAAGTGCGGATACTCGATAATTTTGGTTTGATCTAAATACTCCGCTTTAAATTTTGTAGACAAGATCAACATCTTAGCTAATAATTTTGCAAAAATGCTTTTAAACTAAAGGGATTTTATCGCAACCTCCTACTTTATTAAAAAAAGGATGTACATCAAAATTTTAAATCGATATTTTTCTGGTTAAGCTTTTTCTTTAAGTGTTTAGTACCTCCAAAGGGATATCATAAATGCACCCAGCGTAATTAAACGGTATATAAAGGATCATTTTGGGGACTTTTTCAAGAAACATCGATTTGAGACGGATATAACCATACACTTCAAAGTTTTCCCAAACACTTTTCTTTTATTCTTGGCTGCTGACTGACTTTCCTCTAGTTAAGCCAATCCGAATTGATCCACCTTTGTGCTCCCGCCATCTGTGGACCTCGGCCCTGGAATTTCATTTGCGCATTCCGGTGATGCCGATGTCGCTGTCGCTGCACTCTGTTGCATTTTATAAGCTCTACGTGGCAGCAATCACCCCGAGGAAAACTCCACTTACAACTGCCCCAGAGAGTCCTTCTGGCCCTGTGAAACGTGGGCGCCATCGGTTTTTATTTTGACCAATAAAAGTACTTGGTGCATGCAAGTTTGTTGTGATTGTGCGGCCAGCGGAGCGTATGAGCAATGTCATGTTGTGCAAGAACTTACAAGACCCGTAAATTGGGGCAGTATTTTCTAGGTTAATTGCTCTCCACAGGGTTTTCGAGTGTTAGCTAGTGCATTTCAATAATTTATTAATGCACTTGGTAATGGGAAAATCCTGTCCCATTATTCATCAGATAGTGCAATATAATGTGACGTTGTTCTAACCTTTAGAGCTATATAAATGGGTACATGTTTGTCTTTTATTAGAGTACTTAATAAAGTTAAATTAAGAAAGTCCAAACGCAAGCCCAAAAGATGTTAACAAGGTTTTCTAACCTTTGGTACTCTTTAAGCCTAAATACATGTGTCTTTTTAATAATGTTTAATTAATAAAGTTTATAAGCAAACACAAAAGATGTTTACTCGTATAATCATTTAAGTTTAAAGCAAAAAAAAATATTTTTTAAATCAGGGAACTGTTTTTTAAGTGTATAAAACACATAACCACTATGCAATTCTCGGTCAATTAGTTATCAGAGTCTAGCAGAGCTTCGCCTGGTTAACCAGGAATTTAAATAATTTATTGCAACATTCGAAACCTGTATTTATTCGACCTCAAAGCCCGAGGTAGCTGGCCCGAAATCAAAGCCGTATATTGCAGCTCAGGAGACCTCCTGCCAGTTTTCACATCCTTAATTCCGTTCATTTGGAACCCAGCAGAGAAACAGGCACTTGGAGGACTGAGAGCTGTCGTCAATGTCTTTGTGGCACCGCTGGGTTTGTGGGAAATCAGGGTCGGTTTCCGGTGCCCCAGTCTAATAATTTATGCAATTGCTGTATGCAGGAGGGTCGCCACTCGGCTGCCATGATGCAATTGTCAGCATTTGGCTTCGTTGGCACCGCAATCGCGAGTAATTGTGGAATGCCGCGGGGCACCAAACTCACACAGCAAAAAATAAAAAGGGGAACAGGAGCTGGAAGCCAGCGTTGATGCTGATGTTTTGTGGCCTCAATTTGCTTAAACAGGCAATTAATATGCGCGGCAACGTTGTAAACAATGCCACCGGGGAATCGCGGGATAACCCCTCTTCAACCGCTTTCACTAATGGCCGGAATAAACACACTTTTGTGCGGCTCTTGTTTGGCTTAATTCGAGTTAATTTAATTTACAATTCAGCTGACATTTCAGTGGAAATTCCTGCAACTGCGCTATCAAATCGACTCCTTTCGCCCGACCATGTAAATGGTACTATGATCCTTGATAACGAACACAAATCCCTGGTTGACCTTGACGACTCTTAGGTCGTTGTCGCTTCCAACATCGGTGCTCACTAAAAGTAAAAATACCTCTTCAGGGTTTGGTCAACTTGGTTTGGCATATCAAAATATATTATTTGATTATAAGTTTTCAATAATATTATTTTGATAGCGCAATAGGTAAATTAATACGATCACAGATGTTCGACTTTACTAGAAATTAACTTACTCAACACCCGATTTGGCTTGGATTCCAGAGAGTTGTACTGCTTAAAATTGGCAACATCCGTATTCTGATCGACATTAATGTCGGTGAAGACTTTCTTGAGACCCAGAGCCTTTAGGGCCAAATTCAAGTCCACGGTTTCGTGGACCGTAAAAAGGGGTAAAAACAGGTGAGTCTCCTCCGCCTTTCTCAGCTGTATTTTTAAATATTTATCCAGATTTTGAAGTACTTTTTGGGTGCTTAGCTGTCGTCTGGGAATTAAGACCAGCATTCCGATATCGGCCCTAGAAAATGGTATCAGAACACCCCGAACTTCGTCATCGTTGAAAAACTGAAGGGGAGCTACAGTGTACATCATTTCGACTTTATAGACATAAGGTGCCTTATTGGGTCTTGCCATACTAAAAATTTGTTTAGTCAGCGATTTGAACCGATGTTTCCACGTACATGACATAGAAATTCCTTGCAGTCCCACAATTTTTGTGATGTTGGTTAAGTCGTGTTTGTCAACCATGTGATGTCCACCCTTATCAAAGGATTTGTGAAGCCACTTCTTGATTTCTTCACTTGACTTTAGTCCGTCTCTAAAGTTTATGTTCTCTACTTCAACACCGATAGATTTACTAATTTTCTTCATGTGCAGTGATGCATTGTGGTCCGGGGACAAGTAAAGTCGATTTATCATCTTCAAGTCCTGCTTAAACGCCTTCAAACGAGCATTCCCGAAAAAGGATAAAATCTTGGCATGACGACGGCCAGTATATCGAAGGGCTCGGGCCAATTGATAGTCCCTGCGATTATTCTTTCCCAGATAGAGAATTGTTAGAGCCTGGTGAATTGCATACGGGGAGACCACAAAGTTTTGCGGCAAATCCTTACTACTCAGCTGCTCTATCAAATTAGTTTGGAATCGATTCTCAAAAAATCCTTCAGCCAGAACCAGCAAGAGAATACAACATAGAACGGGTTTATTCATTTCAACCGCAGTAATGTGACTAATTATTTTCAGTTTGGGTTCCGAAAGGCAATAATTGCATTAGGCACACTTTCAAATTAAATGGAACAAAATAAAAAAAATAGGTCGTGTCCCGACTAGCGAATGATAATTATAATTTTTTTCAGAAATTTACATACTGCTAAAAATTAATTTTATCTGTCCATTCAAGTGTTTTTCAAACATTATTTAAAGACATATTAAACAAAAGAAAAAGCGACAAGATGGTTTATAAAAACTAAGTAGTTTTTATACTAAACAATGAATTCGGATCGAATTTAAATTAACGCGGATTTGTATAAGTTGATAATTTCAGGTTATTGAACTATTTTTATAATATGGGTGTAAGAATTCTTTATAATCACATGCAATAAGTATTCTGTTTATTCTGTTTACGATAACATTTCCCTGCAGAAGGATTCTATCAAAAAGACCGTCACTTTGGGAATTATAATAAGAGAGCGGATTCTTAGTAAAGTAAGTAAAGTCTTGAAAACATGCCTAATTATTTTTCCTTAATAATTTTATATTATTAGAGTCCACCCAATTTGCTATTTTCATAGTGGTACCCTATTAAAAATTTCCTGTAATTGTGAACTGTTAAATTAATCCACTTGTCTATGTTTATGAAGGATTCACAAGCCTCTTGTCCGTTTGCTTGTTAACGCAGCTTAAAATTGGATATACTAGTTTTCCAAATTCTGGACTCTTTTCCAAAGTTCGTTGCGTAGAAGAGCAAACTAATTTTTTGAAGAAACACAGTGTAATAAATTCTATTAAAACTTTTTCTTTTTACCAATATTAAGCCAACCTGCTCTCGTATTCTCCAATTAAACGGGTAACACAGCCAAGTTTCATAATTATGTTAACACCATCTCTACGGCAACACCCCAGCACTTCCGTTTCTATTCCATCTCGGCAAGTTAACCGACTGCAATTTTAAATCCGAGCTCAGCTCGTGGCATAAAGCGTTTGAGCGCTCATTGCATTTTAATGGCATTTTGAAGCGCTGATGTTCCAGGACAGCGAACAGCTGAGTGAAGGGAGAAAGTCGCATTGGCAGTGGCTGAGGAGTCGATTTAGATATGCTGCCACACAACGCCCACATGCAGCTTCATGGCTATCTAAGGCACTGAGCGAAAATTACACAATTCGGGGAAAGAGTTTATTGTCGTCGTAAAGTACCACTCACAGTGTAATACATTTTTGATTTCAAGACGTAAAACCCAAGGTTAGGCATGAAAGAACTCTGTAGTGGAGTGCCTCGACTATCGGATACCCGTTACCAAGCTCATTATAAATGGTTTGATTTAAACAATTTCTATGTGGGTATTGATAAACAAAAAAATCCTATTTGTACTTTTAAAACTCAAAACCTTTAAAAATTTGCAACAGAGTTAGAGTTTTGTTTCACATTTGTGATCTAGCACTAAAACTGTAAGCGCCATACGGACGGACGGACAAACGGACAGATGTTACACAATTTCCGACAAATGCAATATACCCTTTAACCTTTAACGGGTATCATTTTCATAAATCAACATAAAAGGTATTTTATTTATAAACATTAGTCAATGCTTTTAAAGTAAAGAAAATCGTATAAAAAAAACTAATAGTCTCCAAAAACTGCCTTAAAAGTTCCTGAGGACCTAAATGCTTAGTTCTCGAATTTGTTTGCTCTGCAGAGCTGTTTTCCTAAGCGTTTGCCACTTTGTTGTGCCGACTTCTGTTTATCTCCGTCGCTGCCATTGGCCGTGGGGTTTCCTTGGGCTGCCCCCGTAGTTGGGAGAGCTCGGGGAAGGCGGCAGGGATCCTGGCAGCAAGAAGCGAGGTGCTAAGGATCCAGGAGCCACGGTCGAGACACAGGCGCTGCCTTTGCCGCTCTGTGTGTGGCATGTCAGTGAGCACTTACACTAATTTCCAGTTATTTGCATGCAAAATTACCCGGCACCGGCAAAAGCAGCGGCAATGGGAACAGCAAGGACTCCACAGGAGCAGCCACACCAACCAGCACAAACAAGCCTAACAAAGATGGTAACTGGTCCTTGCTCTCTCTACACCGGAAACAAACTGTGTGGGTTCGTTATAATTCGATGTATTGTATTGATTTCCTATCATTCTTAGCTACAATGTATTCAATAAATTTGACGAGATTGTTGACGCGGCACATAAGTACTTAATGCTTATGCTTATACACACTTGCATATGAATAAATTTATAAATATTGATATATTTATTGTGCTAATACACGCAATATTAAACTATTGCAAACAAATTGAGTTACTATGTTACAGGGTTATTTAAATGTTTTGAACTTAATTACAATTTCAAAGAACTGTTCAAGTCTTCATGTCTTTGTGTAGCTTAGTTCTTTTCTTCATTTTATTAAATGAAAAATGTTTATATCAATTTTGTTTGAATTGATAAAGAACTTGTTTTAGTGTAAAAATATTTTTTCATTGACACAACAATTTTTTTCTCATCTTTTTGATTTTTTTTGTAGGTTTGTATTTAATGAGCAATCTTTTTTTAGTGCACATCCCGTCCATCAGCCAATTAAAAGGAGAAAATTATGTTAATTTTGAGGGGCCTAGGCTGCACTGTCATTTATCATTTGGCCCCGATTTCCCGTCATGGCTCGGGCCACTCCATACCCGCCGAGCTCATTATAGGTACTACCCACTCAGACCGGATAACCTAAATCCACCTCCGTCCTTTGCCACCGACTTAATGCCCGTGATTGGCATTTGCCACTACGCCTACGCCTGAAGGTAATTTTTATTCATTCGCCCTGCAGCAGGACGAAGGAAATATCGTGTGGGCGTGGGCACTTGGACCAGCTCACACATGCAACACCCACCCACTCGGGAACCCACTCACCCCGAAACTCGGTCCTCAGCGAGGACATCAATAATTTATATAGGAATTTGATAAATTATTTCGTACGACAGTCCTCTGCTGCCGCAACTAAATAAGTTAATTTGTCATAGGCAAGCTCTACAAAAAATTGTTCAGACATGTAAATGGTCTCGATGGGCTTTTGGCTTAGCTTTTGGTTGAGCTCTGATAGGGAATACATAATAAATTTGTTATTAATGGCCTAGACATGTGTACGTAGGATAAACTAGATTCGTGTGCTCTTTATGCGGAGGGACGACCGTCAGCAAGTTGTTGGGTTTTTATTACGATGCCCTGAATATTACGATTTATTGAAAAATGATCTGCTCTATTTATTGAGAGTGGTTTGGTATATTATTTAGGGCTTATGTTTTACATATATACTAAATTCAATTTTGCAAAAGCCTTAAAATTTCATATTCTTTTTATAGTTTACTTCTACGAATGTTTTTTAACACTTTTTAAGATTTGTTTTAATTGATCGATTGAAAAAATATAATAATAATAAAAGGTATGATTTCCTATCAATAAATAGTTATTTTATTTCTTATTGGCTGCCAAATGTAACTATATTTTAAAGTAATCCATATTAGCCTCGTTTTCTTTTTAATCATTTGAGAAGAATGACATTACCTTTACACTTTACTTGGAAAATGTTCTTATAATGTGTATAAGATCTCTTTAACTTCTCTATTTGGACAGACTATTTGGGAATTCAATGCTCAAGATTTAGACCATCTTTGCTTTGAGCCACCAACCACATTACCCAGTTAGTGCTCAATCCGATTTTCTTTGCAAAGGTTAAGCTTTACGGACTTCCACCACTTAATCTCTTGGCCCGGTTCAATTGCAAGTTAAACAACTCAATTTGCCCCGGAGAAGCTATCGAATATGGACAGGCGATTGCACGGGCTATGGCGAACCGATTGCCAAACAAAGGATACGGCCACTCCCACTCCGCCCACTGGGGGCACACACACACTCACGCAGTTGCTAGAAGGGGGACAATCAATGCCATTTCCTGCGACTAGATGGGACTAGCAATAACAGCAAAAACAACGGCGACAAACTGGAAAACAACAATTTAATTAAAAATTTATAAGCGTGTCGTTGTCTTGGCAAACAAGCAGCCAAACAAAGCAACAAAAGCAACAATCTGTTGCTGCAACACCCACACGAGGGCAAACAGCAACACCAACACAATCGCAGAAGGGGTGAGCGAAAGGACAGCGGAAGTGGAGCACTCGAGCGCCCCCTGGCGGTGGAAAACGACGGCACACATGAGCGAACCGGAAATGGCCTGCTGCCATTGTTCTTGCCGCCATTTTCCGCCCCCACCCCCGTCATTTCGACTCGGCTCATTTGCTTTCGAGTTCCTGGCTTTGTTTAGACTTCTGCCGACTAATTACTGGAACTGGAGCTCCACTCTGAGCACCCATTGAGCTTAATTAGCACGAAAAAAGTTTCTTCCAGCCGCAGCGACATAATTGAAATGTTTACGTTTTGTTTCGCCGTTGGCTTTCCCCGGCTGGTGTTTGCTTTGCATTTGCTACAAAAAAGTTTTGTTTTTGCTCCCCATTCATTTCAATTAATTTGCAATTTTGTTAGATCATAATTCTATGCATATTCCGTAAGAAGCTCCCACTTCCGTTTCCCCTTGGCCTTTGTTGTGGTTATCCTTTATGCTCATTATAAAAGAGGGGAATTACCTAAAGCCAGTCGACATTGCCTGTGTGCGAGAGTATTGTTCTGGCTGCGTAATTTATGGGACAACCCTGGTTATAATCTTAGTGAAGAGAACGCTCCTGGGTCGCCTATTTTTAAATGGATCTACTTTGGGTCGACCTTCAAAAATAAAGCAGATAATTTACGACTTTGAAAGGTGGCGGTGGCGCGGTGATTGATGGTAAATGCGTACTTAAGGCAACTACCAATTTCCTGATTAAGAGATAAACACAGAGGCCTATTCCGCTCTTGACTTTTGAGGAACTTCATGGAATTGCTTTTAAATATAGCACAGTACTTAATGTCTTGTCCAATATATGCAATCTTTTCAAATTAAAAATATTTTATAATGTCTTTTTTCCTGTTTATCTTGAGCTATGGCTTAATGGTTCAATTGTCTTTTTGTCATTGACATAGATTAATTAAAAACTTTGTCTATAAAGTATCCACCAAAAATGTTGGTGGACATCACTAAATTCCTTAAATTTCCCAACCCATTTTTTTACCTTAAGGTATTCTTTAACCAAAATGCCTTACCCACTTAAAGTTTGCAAAAACATTTTTGCAAGGAGCCAAAACAAATTTTTTGCTTTCCTCTCCCCTTCTCCTTCAGTTCATTTTACTCAACGTGCGCCACTTATTTATCTCCCCCCACTTTATCACTTCTCCATCATTTGTTTCTCGGTGGCGTTATGGGTAGCATATTTTTTGGCGCCCGCTGTGGGGCGGAAAACTGCGGGGTTTACATTTCAATATCAGGGGCGTCTGTAAGACTCTTAAAAGCTTTGCCAATTGTTGAATATTTTACAGTTTTTTATTAGCTTTGTGTGTTTACCGATTGTCGCAAAAGGTTGTTCTGCTTGCTTACTTACGTACTACATATATATGTATATACCCGAATACGGGTTTATATCCAACATGTTCGCACGGGGGCATTAAATGTGTCGCCGTTTGCTCGCCTTTTTCGTTGATGTTTTTTTTTTCTGTGATTATTTCTCATTAACCGCAACGCAGAAAACTGCGCTTATAATATTTTTGTTTTTTTTTCTCCTTTTTGGCCCCGTTTTAATGGACACGGACCGTTGAGTTTAACGTCTCGTGCCAGTTGGCGTTGTTGTTTTTGCTTGGCCGGGCTTTCTTCCTTTTTTCACAAATTAGTCGCACGAACATTTTGCCGCTTTGCTGCCGCTGCTCTGGAAAATTGTTTGCAACATGCAAAGCGGCGGCCGCAAAATAGGCCGACAGAAAGCCCCATAGCCAAACCCAGACCCTCGGCAGACCTCGATGCTTTCGAGTGAAAACAAATATGCACTAGAGATGGCAGCGTGCCTGGAAATTGGGGGCCCCAAACTATCTTTACACTAGGAGAAAGTCCAGAGCATCTTATAAGTCGATATTTAATGTCTTACTGGCAGTGTACTTTCAAAACAGTTCTGAAAATCCTCTTCGTTATAGAAGATTGCCATGGAAATCAAGAGTTCTTTTGGAATCCTTCAAAAATGATGAATTCTTTTCAAAACACGTTGAACGGATTGGTGATGTACTAGAATTTAAAGGGAGCGATATGGTTTCTTTTCAATCAGTTTTGGAACAATCTTATATCACAATTTTTTCAATATTTTTTTCAAAGTGCACCAGGATTATGTGCCTTTCTGTATCACGTGCCCATATTCTGCCAAGCAGAAGGACCAGAAAGCAGGGACCAGGAATGCTCCTGTCAGCATTCCTCGGTGTCGTTCCAGCCAGACTGACAAATACACAAAGAGACATGCCACACTCGGGGCCCTTATCCCCTCGAATCCCCTTCCGCTTTTCCCATTTTTCCGAGTCCTTCGTCCTTCGCCGTGCACGCCACTATTTTTTCATCGCTGCGGCTGCTTACACGAAATGAATATGGATTTCCTTTTAATTACAACTCCATGGCCCGCACAAAGCCTTTCACATTCTTTTCCGCGGCTTCGGCTATTTATTCCTGCAGCTATTTTTAGCCGAAAGTCTGAGCCGGCTCAGTTGCATAGATTGGACGTGTTTTGGTATCAGATTTCCCCGTGTCTACTGCCAATCAGAGCGACAACAATGGAATCCCATCTTCTCGGGATGTTTACGTCCGCCTTATGGATTTAAATGCCACAATGGCAACGGATTTATGGTGGCTGAATTTGAGTGTGTATTCAAATGAAATCTGTAGAATGCCAATATTTATGTGTTGTCTGTTATCAAGGTGCTTTTTTGTGGGGGCAATGGGCAGAAAGACTTGGGTCTTGCATATTTATGTAAATCCCATTTTATGGAAAGCGATTACATTGTTGGATGTGGTTCTGAATTTTACATATTGTTCAATATTTTGTATGCATCGATTTTATATGTAAGGTATTTTAAACTTTGAAGAGATAGAACTTTAATATTAAGTGTGTTCCTTAGAAATGTACAAAAAAGCCTTGAAAATTGCAATACTCATCTATTCTAAGAAGTTAAAAGGGTATAACCTACAGAACGAGGTACCATTCAATCAATGATGTGTTCTGCAGTATTCTATATACTGCATACTGCAAAAGTCGAAAACCAAATACTCAACGTTAAGCGCCTTTTCAAATCAGTTCAAGGCGCCTAATCAGCAACTTTCCAGCTATTCACCCACCCACAACTCCATTAGGCTCATCAAAGAACATTCCTGGCTAATCCCCCATTTAGTTAATGCTTGCTTACCGGTGATACAGATTATTATTTCATTATCCGGAGGCGCTCGGCTCGGTTATACTAAGGCCGTTATATGCTGAGCAGATTGTGTACGGTCGATATGGAACCTTTAGCAAGCACATAATTTCATATGGTATACGGTGCCTGAAAGGTATAAACATTCGCGATGTTCGCATACACAGGCTACCTGTACGTGTGGGCTTGTAAAAAACAAAAGCAATGGCCGTTGGCTTCGACATGTTCATCTTTTGCTCGGATGAGCTGCCTCCGCCTCTCCGGGCTGTTTAAATATGTATTGCTTTGCATATTTTATAAACTCCACGTGCTTTTTCAGACAACACTTACTCACCAACACCCCGCACACAAGCCACCTCCCACGGAAGCACACTCGCAATTCGCGTTTGCTAACTCGATAATATTGATTGGTTAAGAGGAGCCAAGGATGAACAGGAAATATGCCTGGTACTTTGTCGGAAAACCAAGCAAAATTCGAAAACCTATTGCAAGTAGTTCGGAAATTCCATTTCTATAATGTTTCCCACGTATTTTAAATTGAATATGAAAAAAAGTACAAGTTTCAATTCTATGTTTGAAGTCTAGAAATTTATGGTCTTTGAATTGATTTCAAGATAGAAGCAGCTTCTTGTAACTAGCTATACCTTTTTGTATTATCAAAAAAATGTACAAAGCGGCTTAACATTCTATTTTGCTTAAGGGAAAAGGGAAAAATATTTTGTTTAAACCCCTGAATTCTTATAAAAAATTTGTATAAAATGATATCCACTAGGAACTTCAATCAGCCTTTTAATAATGAAAAATGATTCTTGAATAGGTGATATTGCATCATAAAAAGTATCTTCCCTTTAAAAGACTGCGCAATGGGGCATCTCTGCTGCACAGGACTCGGGTTTCGGATCAAAAAGTGAGTCACAGAGTCTCTTCCAGGGTCAATAATGGTAATGTGGGTCATCAACTTACCATTTTGCAGGCTCCACCGCAGCAAGCGTTGGTTCCGTGGTCCGCGCCATCGCGATAATCCTTTGTTCGCTGATATGGGGCGTTTTAAAACGCGCGCGTTTTTGGTTGCCGCCCTTTTTTGATTTTCACCTGCTTTGTGTTTTCGTGTGTGGCTGTGAACTTGACAAATTGTTATGGCTGTTGTTTGCTTGTTAGTTGCCGGTTGCTTGTTTTTTTACACTTTTAGCCTCTCACTTTGGGGATGCTGATTAATGGCCCTTCGGTTGATCGTTTCACATGTGCATTAGACGCTCCATTTTTGTATATGACCGCGACACATTGCCGAGGGTTATGTGATTCTTCCGGGCACTGGATAAATATTTAATCATTCAATTTCCGAGCGCCGCAAATGAGCAAATTACAACGGAGAAAGGGGAGAAAGTGGACTCAGTTTTCCCCGCTTGGCCATTTAAGGCGACTTCCACCGCAGATCCATTCGCATTATCAGGTTTTGGCCAAACCCTATAACGCCCCTCCGCCCACCGACCACGCCCCTTTGGCTGCAGAGTGTCTCAAGTGCGCCATTAGGCGTTTGTTAATGGCCTTTTACCGTTTTGCTGCTCATCTCGTAGCGCCGTGCAACGAGACACTTGGAAAAAGGGGTATGTTTTCATAAGGCCAATATCTCTTATCAAAATAAATTTTTTCCTTTTTCCTTGTTTGTATCTAAGCCAATTATTTTAAGAAAATGTATTCCTTCTTACTTAATATTTTAAATATATTGTCTTAAAATACCTGTTTTGACGTTAGTTTCTTAAGACTTGGTTTATCTAAACCTTAGTAATATATCCAAAAACTTTAAAAAACACTTTATATTCACTCACAATATGACAAAAAATACAAAAACAATTATGTTCCTTGTAAGGGATTTACTTTGAGACTGTTAGGGATAGTAAACTCTCGACTCATTCTTGATTTGCGATCTATTTTTTTCCGAGTGCAGCAACAAACGCGCTGTAAACTCATTTAATATGCTTAATGACGTCATGTGTGCGCTGTTTTAAGTAGCCTCCCCCTTTGCGAATGTGTGTGTTAGCCCCACCTTGCATGCGACAATTCTCAGTTGCCTCTTCTCTGTTATTGTCACTGCCGATGTTGCTGGATTTTGCTGGGTTTTTGTTTTAGGGGCACTCCTCTTTTGTTGATTCTCAGCCTTCATTGTTGCGTTGGTCATTTGAAATGCAGATGGCCTTGGACGGCTTAGCCCCTGGCTCCGCTTTGAATGCTCCGCCCAAAATAGTCTCGCTAAACTCTTAACAAAACTGCGAATAGTTGTGTGAATGGCAGCACAGCCTTGGGGGAAATCTCACTAACTTTGCCATAGAATTTCCGAGTCAAAGGAGCCCAGAGTCAAACGGTCTTCATGGTTCCCTTTTAACTTTTTGGATTATGACCTCGAATCAATGCTGATTTGGCAGTTTTGCTCCTTCGCATGTTAGAAAAACTATGGGAGGCGGAAGTCTTTAGCTGCACGAGTGTCGTTAGTGAAAATATAATATTTAAGGATCTCTTAAAATATGTTGTTTCTCAAAACCACACTCTATTTTAGGCCTTACAATAAATATAGGTTCATGTAAAGTTTTTGCAATGCTTCAATTAAATATTTCCTCTGTATATAGAGATCTTCATATATATAAATCGTTAAAATAAAAAAATCATCTAGTTCCTAGCCCATTGTTAGCATTCTATTTTATTTACTTTTATTTTCACTCTCACTTTAACTATTCTTGCGACATAGGAAGTTCTTGAAATTCTCTATCTAATTTTCTCGTAATCCCATGTGTAACTCTGCCCAGCAATCTGCTTCAACATTGCCTTTAATTCAACTATTTAACCACTTTAGTTTGGCTGACTATGCATGGCTGATGAGTTTATGTCCAGTGTTAATTAAATGCAACAGACGCTCCTCTGGGAAGTGCAAACTGCTGGAGTTACTTGCTGACCCAAGACCTTAAACACGTTGTATTCCGCTGGTCATGTAGCCGTCTTGGCCTGCCATTTAAAGTCAGTTGGCTGACACAATCTAGTGTTGGCTTTGCATGTTCCACAGCCCACTTACTGGTGGTAACAAGGCTCGGTCTGGCAGCTGACTTAGCCCCCTGAGCTGGCCTGTTTTCCCCGAAAGAAGTTCACTCCCTTTCGCCGCTTTAACAGCACTTTTGTGGGTTTTGTTTAATTTTGATCGTCGTGTTATTCAAATATGTAGACACTCACACGCACTCACACTAGAACCGAATGGCAAAGAAATTTCCACTCCTCGAATTCGGGGAGCAACTCCCCATAAAACCAGTTTCTGTGTTTTTTTTTTGCTTTCTGGTTAAAGAGGAAGTTCTGGCCGAAACCGAGGCGAAGTCCGAAACTAAATCGAAGCCACAACTGTCGGGAGCGAACGATTCTGGGGGAGAGGTCCACGTCCGTTCGGGAACAGCTTGAGCAACAAACTGTTGGCCAAAAGGATTTTTTGGTTCTTGGAGTCGGCCAAAGCTCGTCGGGCTCGTGTTGGGGGCACGCTGTTGCTATTGGCAGTGAAAGCTTTCCGCGCTTTCTCCCACCCGCCCGCTGCTTTCCACCATTTTCCATGTGCGGCAGGACACGTGCGGAGCTTTTTAGCACGTGAGTCGTGTGTGTTTTACGCCTGGACAATGGCCGTGTGGCATTTTCGGAAACCTTTCTCAACAAGTGGAAAGCTTTCAATTTGCCATTAATTAGCGCCCGTCCGCTAATTGAATTTTCATGGCCACGACAGCGAACAGGCACTAATTTCACTTTTTTTGGCAACTTTCAAGCCGTTTCAACTGCGCTCAGTTTCAGTTTCAACCTGTTGACCAGCTTGTGGGTGGGCTCCCAGTGGGTGGCGCAACTTTCGTCCTTACACCGTTTCGCCCAGCAGCAGGGACCTTGCCTCGCTCTTGAAAACGGCAACAAGCGGGCGGGAGTCGGCTGAAATATTTATGCACGTAAGGTCATCGCAGCTATTTGGCTGCACTCCGCTCAGCTGGCACTAAAAATAAGTCGGTAAGTAGATATAAGTATAATTCGCGTAGCACACTCTCTCGCACACATATTTCGCAAGTTTTCGTCTGGCGAGGCAGGCGAAATTTTTGAAATTTCGTGCCTTAATACTTTGGCAAGGTCGTGGTGCTGTGGCCCTTGTAGAGTGTCCGACAACAATGGAAAGTCTATAATTGAAAAATAATTGCAATAATTGTATCGTGGTCATATTTTACCGTGTTCTTACAGTCCAAGTGATGATGAATGGTGTGTTATGAAAGACAAAAAAGTGAGTCAAAACTCAGTCATAATTTTTGTGCATATGTGAACAAAACCTAAACATTTTAGTCGTTTAAAGGTTAATACAACTTTAGCAACTTTAAAATCTCTATTAAATCAGGCTTTTGACAACATTTAAATAAAATTTAGTCATCAAGAAATAGCTTAAAAATAACTACAGTTTTTAATAGCATGCTTTAGTTAAACATAAGGTGGTGGTACAGGTAAATCAAATAAAAAAGATTTAAAACATTTTTAGAAATAATTTAGAAGAGCTTTAAGTACCCGCAAACTTTAAATTATAAAATAACTAAAATATCAAGCTTTTGATAACTTTCAAACATAATTTTATCATCAAGAAAAAGCTCAAAAATAAGTCTTCTTTAAAGGGAGGGTTAAGTTGAATATAAGATGGTGGTAAAACAAAAGCACAATGCCTGTGGTGCTTTGAAAAGCTTCTAAAAGCATATCTCAACGATGTATTGTAAATGTAGATTGTTTCTAAAATTTTACTAAAATCTACCAGTAGATATTTTTGGAATAAAAAATTGGTATAAACTACTTTTTATAAACTATGATTTATCAGAAAAGTGCCGGAAAATTCAAACCACTCGGCTCCTTCACAACGGACGCCTCCAGTGGATCCAATACAATGTTTCCTGTGGATCATAGATTTATTTATGGGAGTTACAGGATATTGTTGTCCAAACCGACTCGTTCCTATTTATATACTACCTGCAATAGAAAAAATACTTTAATACTATAAAAAAAGTTTTATCGCTATAGTCCCTTCAGTTCTGCAGTAGGGACGCGGTGACATGGCTCAAGGCAAAAAGCTTTTTTTGTGCCTAAAACGCTGTGCCGCTGTTGACGTCAGCAGAGCAGTCGGCGCAGCGTAGAAGACTGCCCACGAAAACGATCGTGCAACAAAGAGAGGCAGATATTCGGATATTTCCCTCTCTTTCTTGTCTTATAATCTGCTGCACTCCGCGCTCGCAGAGACAAATTTCGGCTGGTCCGTTATTTTTTTTGCGTCTCTCCGTTATGTTCGGCTAGCGACTAATATTTCGGCGGAAAAATTTTCGTGAAGAAGCGACATGTGAATGCCCTAATATTCTAGGAGCACTATTGTGTATCGAAAAAAACAACTAATATTGTTTTATAAAAGTAAACTATTTGATTATAGTAAAATTTAGTAAATTGTATTTACTTATAATGTTATATTTACTTATTATACATTCTTATTACAATATAATTTTATAGTTAAGTTATAGAAATTTAGTCCGTTAAAATTGATTTAAGTATTTAAAACATTTAAGTATTAACATTTAAAAAAAAATCGTATTGTATTTTTTACTCAAGAAGTAAAATCTATATAGTCGGATATATTTTACTTTAGAAAGGGTATAGGTGCAGTGGCACGCGCCAACAACGAAGAGAAAACAAAAGAAACCCTTCAGTTCTGCAGTAGGGACGCGGTGACATGGCTCAAGGCAAAAAGCTTTTTTTGTTTTTTTTTTGTGCCTAAAACGCTGTGCCGCTGTTGACGTCAGCAGAGCAGTCGGCGCAGCGTAGAAGACTGCCCACGAAAACGATCGTGCAACAAAGAGAGGCAGATATTCGGATATTTCCCTCTCTTTCTTGTCTTATAATCTGCCTGCACTCCGCGCTCGCAGAGACAAATTTCGGCTGGTCCGTTATTTTTTTTGCGTCTCTCCGTTATGTTCGGCTAGCGACTAATATTTCGGCGGAAAAATTTTCGTGAAGAAGCGACATGTGCGAAAAAAACAACTAATATTGTTTTATAAAAGTAAACTATTTGATTATAGTAAAATTTAGTAAATTGAATTTACTTATAATGTTATATTTACTTATTATACATTCTTATTACAATATAATTTTATAGTTAAGTTATAGAAATTTGGTCCAATAAAATTGATTTAAGTATTTAAAACATTTAAGTATTAACATTTAAAAAAAAATCGTATTGTATTTTTTACTCAAGAAGTAAAATCTATATAGTCGGATATATTTTACTTTAGAAAGGGTATAGGTGCAGTGGCACGCGCCAACAGCGAAGAGAAAACAAAAGAAATCTAGTAAAGGGGTGAGAAGACTTGGTGCATTCTGTTTGAGTGATTGAAAGGGAAGCATCCATTTTAATGGTGCGCAGCAGAGTTACTTTAATCGTTTAGTTAATATAATAAAGTCAGGTAAGTGCTACATTAAGTTTAAGATGTTGTGCATTGATCTTAGTTTAAAGTACGTAAATTTTGAAGGTATTCAATGGGTTCCGTTAGCCGAAAGTGGATGACGAAATGTTTTGTGCCAATAAAAATTCTGCAACAAGCTATAAAAGGTAAATATACAATTAAACAAATAAAACGCATTTTTTAAACATATGTTTTTTCAGGAGCGTTGGCCAAGGATTCAGAGGATCCGGACAAAGGTTTAAGAACGGCGATGTCTAACGTTAAAAATAAGGTTACGAAGCAAAAGAACAGAAACAATAACTGTACAATTTTTGAAAATCTAAATAGTACCATATAATTAAAATAAATTAAAATGAAATGAATTAAATTCTATATTTTTTTAATTGAAAACTCAAGGAAAAATTCTGATTTTCACAAGTGATTCACTTGGGACGTGTGCCTTGCAAGTGATTTCACAAGTGAAAACTCAAGGAAAAATTCTGATTTTCCCAAGTGTTTCACTTGGGACGTGTCCCTTGCAAGTGATTTCACAAGTGAAAACTCAAGGAAAAATTCTGATTTTCCCAAGTGATTCACTTGGGACGAGTCACCGGCACGTCACAGGCCATACGAAAAATGAGTATAAGGAACAAGTGAAATCCCGTAGGACTTCGAAAAATTTTCATTTGAATTTTCACTTGTGAAAATGCGGACATCCCATACAATTTTCTATATGGAGCGTCACTTGTTCTTCACTTGTGCACGAGGACATGTCCCAGGTGATTCCCAAGGTGATTCACAAGTGAAACTTTTTTTTTGGAACTGAAGGGAATCTAGTAAAGGGGTGAGAAGACTTGGTGCATTCTGTTTGAGTTATTGAAAGGGAAGCATCCATTTTAATGGTGCGCAGCAGAGTTACTTTAATCGTTTAGTTAATATAATAAAGTCAGGTAAGTGCTACATTAAGTTTAAGATGTTGTGCATTGATCTTAGTTTAAAGTACGTAAATTTTGAAGGTATTCAATGGGTTCCGTTAGCCGAAAGTGGATGACGAAATGTTTTGTGCCAATAAAAATTCTGCAACAAGCTATAAAAGGTAAATATACAATTAAACAAATAAAACGCATTTTTTAAACATATGTTTTTTCAGGAGCGTTGGCCAAGGATTCAGAGGACCCGGACAAAGGTTTAAGAACGGCGATGTCTAACGTTAAAAATAAGCTTACGAAGCAAAAAAACAGAAACAATAATTGTACAATTTTTGAAAATCTAAATAGTACCATATAATTAAAATGAATTAAAATGAAATGAATTAAATTCTATATTTTTTTAATTGAAAACTCAAGGAAAAATTCTGATTTTCACAAGTGATTCACTTGGGACGTGTCCCTTGCAAGTGATTTCACAAGTGAAAACTCAAGGAAAAATTATGATTTTCCCAAGTGTTTCACTTGGGACGTGTCCCTTGCAAGTGATTTCACAAGTGAAAACTCAAGGAAAAATTCTGATTTTCCCAAGTGATTCACTTGGGACGAGTCACCGGCACGTGACAGGCCATACGAAAAATGAGTATAAGGAACAAGTGAATTCCCGTAGGACTTAGAAAAATTTTCATTTGAATTTTCACTTGTGAAAATGCGGACATCCCATACAATTTTCTATATGGAGCGTCACTTGTTCTTCACTTGTGCAAGAGGACATGTCCCACGGGATTCACAAGGTGATTCACAAGTGAAACTTTTTTTTTGGAACTGAAGGGGTTTTATAACTGAGTTCGCTTAGAAACGGACAGACGGACATGGCTATAAAAACTTGTCTATTGATGCTGATCAATAAATTTGAGGCTTCTAAATATATACTTTATGGGGTCGGAAACGTCTACTTCATTGCGTTGCAGTCTTCTGAATGAAATTATTATTTTGTTCCCAAGATTACACACACCCAGAAAAACAAATAAACCAAAATGACCAAAAATGGCCTAGAATTTAGGTAAAATTGACCTAAACTTGGAGCTAAGTCCATGTATTAAGGTCACGAATGGCAGTTATAATTACTACTATTTAATTCGAAATTCTTAAAAATACAAAAAATGTTATTCCCAATAGTATAAGATAATATGTCTTTCCTATGGCAGCTAAATAATATAGTCGTCCGATTTTGATAAAATTAAATTCAAAATTCAGAATTACTTAAAAATGTTTTTGCAAGCGTAGGCTAGAGAAATAATTTTAAGATTTAATTTTTAAAAATTCGATTATTCCTATGGGAGCTATAAGATATAGTTGTGCGACCCGGCTGGTTCCGACTGAAATATTACCTGCACAAGAAAGAAGACTTTTGGGAAAGTTTCAGCCCGATAGCTTTAAAACTGAGAGAATAGTTTCCGTACAAACGGACGGACAGACGGTCAGACGGGCAGACGGACATGGCTAGATCGACTCGGGTAGTGATCCTGATCAAGAATATATATACTTTATGGGGTCGGAAACGCTTCCTTCTGTCTGTTACATACTTTCCGACGAATCTAGTATACCCTTGTACTTTACGAGTAACGGGTATAACAAGAAAGAACGCTTAGTCGAGTACCTCGACTATCAAATACAGGTTACTCAGCAAAGCGAGAAACGCGACACCTACCAGCGATCTATATGGTTATGTGCGCGGTAGACAGATTTAAGAGTACAAGTAGGTTAAAGGTGCGCTTCGTCACTACGCGGACTGCCGTCCACAGTGATTCTTTAATAGCTAGAACAGAACTTAATTGCTATTATGAGGATAAACATATTCCTATGGGTGTACTGATACTGAAATGAATGGCTTTGAAGCAATGTTGCATAGCTCGAGCATCAGTCGAGTTGTGGCATTAAGTGTAGCTGGTTGTAGATCCTAAATGGCATTGTCATATTACCGTACTATCGGTACGTCCATAGTTCCTGACTGACTTATATAGTATAGAAATCTGGTGGTCTCCGAGAATAATTATTAGTCATTTGCTGTTTTTTTAGTTATTGCGATATCGCTAACATGCAATATCCTTACCATCGCCACATATCTTTATGTTAAGAAGCTCCGAAATACACTCGGCAAGTGCGTTATAAGCAGCCTTTTGGCCAACTTCATGTGGCAGAGCTTGGGTTTAATCCAAATGTGGCTCTCAGTACCTCATTCATTCAACAAAGGTTCGTTTTTTTGTTAGGAAGTTGAAGACTTATTTTGGATACTTTTACTACTCTCATTGCAGTTCCTTTTGTCTTCTTTTTTGCACATAATTTCTGGCTCTCAGTCATGAGCTATCATTCATGGAGGACTTTTAAGTCTGTCAATGGCGAGGAACCCCGTTTTCTGTTCCTGGCCTACAATGTCTACGTGTGGGTTCCGACAGCGATTCTCCCTGGAGGCACTGCATTTATTTACCTTTTTTATGGCGAATTAATAAAAATAGGTAATTAAACAAGTTCTTAAAAATATTTGCTACCTCTTGAGTAAATCACAAACACACCTGTTTAAAAAATGTTATTTAAATGGTAGTTCAAATGCAATATGTTTTGGTTTGTTTTTCATGACATTGTATGTTTCGTTTACAGCGGCAAAATTTTTCTTATGTACTTTTCTGGCTTTACTCATTTCGAGTGCCTTCACATTGATTATGTTCATTTTAACGATCATTCACATTCTGAAAGTAAAGAGGCGAGCTATGAAGTTAACCCACAGAGATGAGGAGACTATGACCTGCTTAAATTTGGATAGTGAGACGTAAGTAATATTTATTTTCAAGCCTGCTATTGAAGATTTATACTTCTTACGTATTTGTAACATAGTTATTTGTACTGCCTTCGGATCCTCTTTGTGATGGGACTGACTTGGACTCCGTTTATTATTAGTTATGTTGTGAGTTCAATTGGTTTCAGACATCCGATACTTAATGTTATCGACTTTTTAATTTGGGGCAATGGTACTTTCGTTTTTATACTTCTTATCCTTAAGCGCAACACCCTTAGGCTACTTGAGGATAGGTAAGTCACATAAAACTAAACATGATCTTTGACTAACATTTTTTTCTCTCCTTCAAGTATTCGAGGAAGACCAAAAAAGCAGTTTGTCCGTGCTCAGAGGGTACAAATCCGGGCTTAATTAAGGCTTACTTTTTATTGACAAAACTGATAAAGAAACACTTTTCCTTAATGTATACAATTTTAAATAGATGTTAATTTATCTTTCTGAATAAAGACTTTCGTTTTTGACCTATATGCATTTTATATGAAGTAGTAACGAGGTAAGTTCTTAGTACAGATTTTTAACGCAAAAAAGTGTACATGCCTTAATTTGTATTGTATACCGTTTGATATGGTGGTTCGAATACTTAAATGTTAACAAGTAAAAGGGTGGCATTGGGATTTAATACTGCGTATCATCGATTTCTAACCAAACGAACAGCAGTCCGGCCGCTGACATGTTTTGAAATTAAATATTTTGGTGCGACAGATCATGCAAAATCAAATATTTTTCAGAAAAAATATATACATTTTAGAAGTGACTTCTTTTGTTTTAGAGAACCTTTCTACCTTTTATAAAAATTTATCTGTTTTAGGGTAAGAAACATTTTAGGGTGTTCATTTATAGAAAAGGTAATGGAAAACAATTTTTATTTTTAAGTTAGCCTATCTATTTTTCAGAAAAAAAGTTCTAGATATAAAGACATTTTTTCTTGTTTTTAGGGCGATTCCAGTTTATGGTAACCAAATCCTAAAATCAAGTAACGCTTTCTTGGCTTGAAAAAAGTTTCTTGATTTAAGAAACTTTTTCTTGACATAAGAAATAATTTTCTTGTATTTAGAAGAAATAAATTTTAATGGCGATTTTCTAAAATGTAAGGTTGATTTTATTGTATTTGTAAAACAAAGGCTAAGTAATGAATTTTTTACAAAACAAATAAAATTATAGCACCTAAAGCACCTCGAGAAAAATAAAACAAAGTATCATTTCTTCAAAAACATTTTAATAAAGTAAATTTAATTTACTAAACGAATGAATTTTTCTAAAATTATACAACTATAACGCCATTCACACAAAAAGAAACATTTTGTTGAGCGACATGTTAAATTTCAATAAATACTAAAATACCGATTTAGGTCTGGCCGGTACTACTTTTCTTATCGCTAGCTGTTTATCCTGATGAAGGCTGCCATAGGCTTGAGGCGAATTTAGTGCTATATGTGTATTTAGTCCACCAAAACCCTGCTGCGAACAACAATTTTAAAAAAGTGGTCCGCGATAGAAAGCTCTTTAATCATTTCGTTCAGTTCTTTGTATAAAGTTAATATATTTAAAATGCTGTGGATTTGGGAACATACTGGTGAAGTTTTTTTTAAAGACCACTATGATATTGAAAACATCTTGATAGCTAAATGAATATACCGGCCTAGTTTTATTATTTCTGTTTCTGTTCCTACAGTTCTCGTGATTTCAATGATCTGCGATATTCTTACCATTGCCGTTTATAGTTACGTAAAGAAACTCCGAAATACACTCGGCAAGTGCGTTATTAGCTGCCTACTTAGCATGGTCATGATGCAACTTCTTTGGATACTAGGCCTTTTGGAGTTATTGGATCTTAACCTTTACTTGGGTATGTTATTGAATGATTATCTGGTCAGATTTCCCAATATTTGGTAAGCTTTTATTATTTTCAGTATTGTATGCTACGGTATTCTTCCAGGGCGCTTACGTTGTGTGGCTTTCTGTCATTAGCTATCACCTGTGGGAAACCTTCAAGCCTCTCAAGTGTGATGATCATCGATATCAATTTCTGCTCTATAGTGCTATTGCTTGGATCACGGCTGCTGGCACTGTAGGATTGTATATGAATACGTATACATTGTATATCTTGGTGTTTGGGCTTGGTAATTTGATATAACGTTTAAAAAGTGTTACAGTAAAATTTCCACAACTTGTACCGGTTGAAAAAAAAAAGAGCGAAAAATTTACATATCTACATTTTTACTCTTGGAAGTTAAGTTAATCTAGTCTAGTTTGAATCCTTTACTAACCAGAAATCACTTCATCGACAAGTCGTGTAAAATATACACTCCTGATAGATTTTTTTCTGCCTAAGACCAAATTTATGAGCATTGCAAAAGAGTTCAAAGAACTCTCACAGTTTTCAAAGTTTGACTACTAGTTTACTAATGGTGTAATACTATCGGCTCTTTGAGAATTGACTGTATTAAAAAAAGAACTCTGTGTCAGATCTCATTAATTTAGGATTCCAGATCCTACGAATATTCAATTTGATCATGTTTGTGTTGACTGTCATTAACATTCGGAAAGCAAAGAGAGAAATTGTGAGGTTTGAGCAACAGAAAGAGACCACAAGGACCTGCTTTAATTTCGATGCCCAAACGTAAGACCAAACGTATACCGATTTTCGAATATAACGTTTCATCTTGTTTCCTTAATTTATTTTTCAAACATAGATATGCAGTCTACTTGAGAATTTCCGTCATCATGGGCGTAACTTGGATTTTTCATACCATTCTTGGTTTTTTTAGAATTTTTCACGTCTATTACTTGGTTAAAAAGTTAACTTATGCCCATTACTGTTTTGGTATTATATATTTTGTTTTGCTTATCCTTAAGCGAAGCACCCTTTTGCTTTTAATAGATAGGTAAGTTCTATGTGGTCAAAACAGAGACTCGAATAACACGTTCTCTTTTCCCACAGCATTCATGAAAGAAGAAATGAGAAGCGAGTCCGTGCTCAGAGGAAAGAAGACCTGGCACAAATATCTAAACGCATCCAGAAAAAAAACATAGTAAATGCTAATGCAGTCCATCTCGTGTAACTCGAATCTCAGACCCCAAAATAATAAATTCGAGTTTAATAAAAAGAAGGAAGATCGCTATAGTCAAGTACCTTGTCTATCAGGTACCTGTTACTGAGCTAAAGGGACCAAAGGGAAATGGAGATATGCGAGCAGCAATGCGAGATTGATATGCGATACCTACCCGCGATCTCAATATATGGTTATGTGCGCGGTAGACAGATTTAAGCTCTATGGGCGTTAGAGTGGGCGTGGCGATCAATCGATAGGTATTAACAAGACTAATACATTTCAGTTAAAATTTTTTATCAAGCATGATAATTGTGGGCGCCACTGGTTTGGGAGGTTTGTGGGCGTTAGAGTGGGCGTGGCATATTCGCGTAACAAACTTGCGCTGCGTACAAGGCAACGGAATCTAAATCTGAAATCGCAATTCTTTATCTTTGATAGTTTCGGAGATATCCGCGTTCATATCTAAGATATTTTAAAGTTTGTGAGCGGTTTGTGGGCGTTAAAGTGGGCGTGGCACCCTGCTTGCGCTGCGTTAGAAGCTCAGGAATCTGCATGCCAAATCTCAATAGCCTAGCTCTTATAGTTTCCTAGATCTCAGCGTTCATCCGGACAGACAGACGGACAGACGGACATGGCTAGATCGACTCGGCTAGTGATCCTGATCAAGAATATATATGCTTTATGGGGTCGGAAACGCTTCCTTCTGCCTGTTACATACTTTCCGACGAATCTAGTATACCCTTTTACTCTACGAGTAAAGGGTATAATGAACGTGTGTACCCACGAACCCGAATCTCACCCCCTACCCTCGAGTCCTTACTCATGGCTGCTTGTGCGCTAAGGTGTGAAATTTTAATTTTGGGAGTTTTGTTCAAAATGTGCAGTTTTTTTTTAGAACAGAGAAATGTTTTCCAATGATACCAAATTTTGCCTTTTTCAGTCGAGTAGTGGGAATATACGGGAGCAGAGGTTTTCGCAGCGGCGGTTTTGGACTGCCGCTGCGATGACCGCCGCTGCGGTTTTATACTCTAGTACTCTACTCTATCCCCACCGGCCCAACAGATCAAATTTTCTAAATTTTCACTTTTACACTTTCTTCACTCTTTCTCCCAAGCCAATTGATTTTTTAACGTCTTGTTATGCAATCCTTTTATTTTTTGCAATACCTTAGAGTAACCTAACTTAACTTCCTTTCTGATTTCAGTGCTATCTGTTATATTTGTAAAGTTCCGAAACAATTTGTTGTTGTTCCGGGCTTGGAATTATACTAACTTTAAATATACAAAAGTAAAATAAAACAAGAATGAACGCTTAGTCGAGTGCCTCGACTGTCAGATACACGTTACTCAGCAGCAAAGCGAGATTGAAACGCGACACCTACCAGCGATCTATATGGTTATGTGCGCGGTAGAAAGATTTAAGAGTACAAGTAGTTTAAAGCGGGGGGTATTTATCCCGACTGGCCCCAACAGATCAAAATTTCTAAATTTTCACTTTTACACTTTCTCCACTCTTGCTCCCATGCCAATTGATTTTATTTAAGTCTTAATATGCAATCCTCTTAGTTTTTGTAATACTTTTCGATTGATGTATCACTCGAAACAATCGGACGATTACAGTATATTTTCATTTCTTCGTGTATACATAGTAGTTGCATTCACACACCCTCCTGGTGCGCTTCGTCACTACGCGGACTGCCGTCCAAAGTGATTCTCTAATAGCAAAAACAGAACTTAATTGCTATTATGAGGATAAACATATTCCTATGGGTGTACTGATACTGAAATGAAGGGCTTTGAAGGAAAGTTGCATAGCTCGAGCATCAGTCGAGTTGTGGCATTAAGTGTAGCCGGTTGTCCTAAATGGCATTGTCTTATTACCGTAATATCGGTACGTCCAAAGTTCATGACTTTTCGGATATTGTGGATATATAGACTTACATATATATAGTATAGAAATATGGTGGTCTCCGAGAATAATTTTTAGTCATTTGCTGTTCTTCCAGTTATTGCGATATCGCATACATGCAATATCCTTACTATCGCCACATATCTTTATGTTAAGAAGCTCCGAAATACACTCGGCAAGTGCGTTATAAGCAGCCTTTTGGCCAACTTCATGTGGCAGAGCTTGGGTCTAATCCAAATGTGGCTCCATTCATTCAACAAAGGTTCGTTTTTTTATTAGGAAGTTGAAGACTACATTTGGATATGAGAAATCACTTTTATTAATCTTCTTGCAGTTCCTTTTGTCTTCTTTTTTGCACATAATTTCTGGCTCTCAGTCATGAGCTATCATTCATGGAGGACTTTTAAGTCTGTCAATGGCGAGGAACCCCGTTTTCTGTTCCTGGCCTACAATGTCTACGTGTGGGTTCCGACAGCGATTCTCCCTGGAGGCACTGCATTTATTTACATTTTTTAAGGCGAATTAATTATAGGTAGTTAAAAAAGTTCTTAAAAAATATTTGCCACCTCTTAAGAAATCACAAACACACCTGTTTAATCAACATCTAGAGCCTTAAAAAAATGTAATTTAAATGGTAGTTTATATGCAATATGTTTTGGTTTGTTTTTCATGACATTATATGGTTCGTTTACAGCGGCAAAATTTTTCTTATGTACTTTTCTGGCTTTACTCATTTCGAGTGCCTTCACATTGATTATGTTCATTTTAACGATCACTCTAATTCTGAAATTAAAGAGGCAAGCTATGAAGTTAACCCAAGAAAATGAGGAGACTATGACCTGCTTAAATTTGTATAGTGAGACATATTTATTTTGAAGCCTGCTATTGAAGATTTATACTTCTTACGTATTTGTAGTTGTTTGTACTGCCTTCGGAACCTCTTTGTGATGGGTCTGACTTGGACTCCGTTTTTTATTAGTTATGTTGTGAGTTCAATTGGTTTCAGACATCCGATACTTAATGTTATGGACTTTTTAATTTGGGGCAATGGTACCTTCCTTTTTATACCCGTTACTCGTAGAGTAAAAGGGTATACTACACTCAGAAAAAAAATCAAGTATTTCGTGCTTGAACCTAGTTTTTTCTGTGTCAAAACTTCGCCAAGCATGGAAAATACAGAACCAAAAAACAAAATACTTCTTTCAAGCACGAATTTTCAAGTCCGCAAATTCTTGGTTTCAGTACGACTTAAGAACGCTGAGGATTAATATCAAGTATGGAGCTTTCTCAAAACAATAATAAAGTATCCTTAAGTCTAGACATATATATACTTGAAATAAGTGCGATTTATTAATAAATTAAGAAAATTTAAGGCTTGATTTAAGAACAAACAATTACTAAACCCAGTAAATTATACTCTTGAAGCTAGAGTAAAAATACTAAGTTCAAGAATATTTCATTTTTAAATTAAGACAATATACATTTTAAGTTAAGCAGGAATAATTATTATATTAAGATCACATCATGCCAGACCTAAGAACTGTTAGTTCTTAAAACCGGATCCCCCATTCTTAAAACAAGGTATGGTAAAACTCAATTTCAGAAACTTTTATACGCTTAGGAAGTTATTGTTTTGGCTTACATTTTATTGTACATGTTTATTTTACAGTTGTTACATACGCTTAGGAAGCTATTGTTTTGATATTCATTTTATTTTACATTTTTATTTTACATTTTCTATATACGCTTAAGAAGCAATTGTTTTGGCTTAAATTTTATTTCACATGTTTATAGTTTCTATATATACTTAAATTTAAGATACGATTTTCCATTGTTTATTGTATATAAGTGCAAAAGAAAAGTACTTATTTCATTAATGTTTAAAATGCAAAATGTGTCGGATGGATAACCGATTTCATAAGAATGAAAATGTTTGTCAAATCGAATTAAATCTACTTTATTACATAAAACAAAAATATTTTCCTTATAACTAAAACAACTTATAATATGTACATGTGGGTTTTGTGTGGCAACATAATAAGTTGATCTCACAATCGAAAGGACCAACTACAATAATACTAGGTTGTAATTTAAGACCCGAACTGTAATACTTGTTTATGACTCGGTCCAATTGAATATCTAAGTCATTAATAGTTACTAGTCTCAGCCCGAAACTCTCCTGCGCGTCCAGTATTGTAGCCTTCCTTGTACATTTTCCATCTTCATTCTTGAAGCGGGCTGATGAGGGCAACAGCAATGTGGCGATTATGAAGTCCTGGGCATCTGTTATATTAGAATGGTTTATTATTATATATTCATAATACAAATAAAAGGTATAGTATTCGCTTTGTCAAAAAGCGGGTTTAAATATGATTAGTATTAGTATAAAAACAGTGAATCACAAAATAAATACAAACTTTTCTATGCTTAGGTATTAAATAACAAGAAATGTTAAGCTTACCTATGTTGGTGCAGTTTTTAACAAGCAAGAGTTGGGCTTTGCAATGTTCATTAATGATGTTGTCTTCGTAATAACACATTATTTGTTGACGAAATTCTTGCCACTTTGAAATCAAATGAAAACCTTTTCCAAGATACATAAGGTCGAAATCAATATCAATCTTGAAAAACAAAAATATTTATAAAATGTTAAACACAAGAAAACAAGGATGAACGCTATAGTCGAGTACCTCGACTATCAGATACCCGTTACTCAAAGGAAAATGGAGATATGCAAGCAGCAAAGCGAGATTAAAATGCGCCACCTACCGGCGGTATACAGATTTAAGCGTTAGAGTGGGCGTGGCAAATTTTTTTGGACCAATCGATAGGTATTGTCGAGATCAATACATTTCAGTTAAAATTTTTTATCTAGCATAACAATTTTGGGCGTCACAGGTTTTCGCGGTTTGTGGGAGTTAGAGTGGGCGTGGCAAACTTTTTTTTGGATCAATCGATAGGTATTGATGAGAACAATACATTTCAGCTAAAATTTTTATTCTAGTATCAAAACTGTAGGAGCCACAGTTTTGGGCGGTTTGTGGGCGTTAGAGTGGGCGTGGCACTGTGCTGCGTAAGAAGCTCAGGAATCTGTACGCCAAATCTCAATAGCCTGGCTCTCATAGTTTCCGAGATCTCAGCGTTCATCCGGACAGACAGACGGACAGACGGACATGGCTAGATCGACTCGGCTAGTGATCCTGATCAAGAATATATATACTTTATGGGGTCGGAAACGCTTCCATCTGCCTGTTACATACTTTCCGACGAATCTAGTATACCCTTTTACTCTACGAGTAACGGGTATAAATAGTAATCCCATACAAACATAAATAAGAAAAGCAAATCAAATTATTTATAGCATTATGTTTTTACCTTAACGTTTATCTGGCTTGGAAGAACAAAACATATTTACTCTAGCAAGGTTTGGAAATCTGGAACGCTAATCGTAAAGTTTTCGAGCATGGCCTCTTCTATTATAATAGAAATAAGTTCGTCCCGAAGCATTTGGGGAAGATAAAGATGAGCGGTAATAACATTTCTAGAATCTTAGAAATTCTGTACTGGGTTCTTCCACAAATAACTGTAAGCACGTGTTTCACGCGTAAAAAGTGAATACGTACAAACAAGTGTACATACATATGTATATAACTTTACCGTCATTCGGCGACTTTTCGTTCACATAAAAAAGAGAAATACAAACACCCCCGGACGAATTCCACGAAATTTGATAACTGTGCTGACCAGTAAGCCACTAGTCGCTTATAAGCCAAGTGTGACCGTTCTAGGATTTTTGAAAGAACGGCGAGGACGTCAAGAAATCCAAAAGCCACGGTCAGCCGATTAAAATTTAACATTTATTAAAATAAAAAATTTCTTTTTAAATTTGCATTTAAAAATGCTAGCCATAAATGTATATAACTTTGTTTAAATCAAATAATTTGATTTTGACACCCTTTGAGAAATAATATAATTTTAGTACTTAATTAAATTAATTGCAATTATATAAGGATGTTTCCAGTTATTATCTGTTCCAATTCTTTACCCAGATCTTTTTTTTATTTAAAAAAAAAACGTGGCAAACAATGCTTGTGCTATTATTAAGTTGTATTCGGTCTTGAACGAAATATTTTTAATCTTGATTTGAAAACTTCCGTAATTCATTTAAGAATTTTTTCTGCTTGATCATATTTGAATCCAAATTGTACTCAATTTAAGAATTTTTCAGTACGAACGTTCTCAAAAAGTTCAGCATTAAATCGTTCTTAAGTCAAGGCTGTTTGTACTTCTTTAAGCGCGGCATTTTTCCCTGAGTGT